AGTAAATGGCCAGGAAAGTTTTGTTAGAACAGTGTCATAACAAAACTAAAGGAGGAACAGAAAAGTTTAATGTATTATAATGCTATTCTTTTGAAGACTGTGGTAGTAATGTTTGTTGCATTGCGATCATTTTTAAGTTCCAGAAAACAAAGAATTCCATTTCCCTAATAATAAACCCCCCCCAAAATATAAGAGGAGCATACAAGACATGCCAGATTCCGGAATGTGGACAGGATTGTCATGGCCACGGCACACTAATTTTTAAAGCAATAGCCAGTGTTTATCTTTCAATCAGCAACATCTGCTGCAAAGATGTAAGTACGACTGACGGACAAAGTTCCTTCAGTTCCCTTTTAATAATCATTTTAGTATAGCTTCATTGTTCCTGCTGAGCTTGACAAAGTGACAAATTAAACTTAATCTGTCTTTTCCTGTCCTCATAGGAAACTATTTGAAATAGTGGAAAGCTCTGAGGGTTTGCCGACCCTGCTGAGCTGCTCATTCTTGCTGCTATGAGGAGAGACAGGGAGCTGGGGGAGGGGGGCAGGACGTTGACAGTATCACACAACAGTATTACAGTTTTCTAGTTTTACATCAAACGCAGATGGGCCATTGAAAGAGAAGGCAGGATCCACTGATCTCCAGAGCCAAGTCCCTATGAGTACAGAAATCTAGTCCAATCACAGGTTTTCAAAGCTGGACTCTAATGACATTCAGATGGTTCCGCTAAACACATGATTTGTAACTAGACTAAGCAACTGTTTAATTATTTTATTCTGAGGTGAAGTTTTAAAAAAAATCAACTTTGTTGTTAATATATTTCATACCGTATCTCTTGATTAAAATCTATTAAAATCTGATACAGCATGTTTTTCCCCAAACGTAGACTTAAGCAAATTCATCCATTTATAGTTGTGCCCATTTACAAAAAGCAGCAATTCTGTAATAAACCAAACTCAGAAGAATAACTGGAAATACTGTATATAGACTGAGCTGTTAAAGAATCTCATGAAGGAATATGAGTTAACAACAAATACACCTACCTACTCGTTGTTCTTAAAATTATATTTAATTTTGTGTCATTTATTATCTACAATAAGTCTCATGGTTCTTAATTTCCATATTGTATTATCTTATATTTAATATCTGCAGTTGATATGTGTTTGTTTTACATAAAGCACTTAAACACTACTATTTGACATAGTGGCTAAACATGGGATTTACCATGATAATGATTCATTGTACTTAATTCAACATAAAAAAATGTAAAAGAAATATGCAGAAGAGAATTCTGAATCTAATGGCTCATTTTCTAAACATGCATACATTGTGAAATTGCTTATTCCTGGTAAGGGTTCCAGGTACCCAGGACCTGTCCTGGAAACATAGGACACAAGTAGGAACTAAATGAAGTCCATCACAGGGTGTGTACTGTATATACAGTATATGAATACACACACAAAAATTAAAACTGCCATTACAAGAGCCATCATATGTACTTGTCAAAAAATGTAAAAAAAAAAATGAAAACCCAGTCTAGAATCAAACCAATTACTCTAGATAGACCAAAGACATAGCATTCTTAACATAATTTTCTAAGGATTGGTACTAAAATGCGCAATTTTTATGTTTTTAATTTAAATTTTTGTAATGTGTATAATTATAATAGAAAAAACAATCTCAAAGAAACTGTCAATGAAAAAGACAAGTGTTGGCATCTTTCTGACTTCTATACAAAAGAGAAAATCTGTAAAGAAAAATGATAGGATACTGTATATTAGGATATACTGTACTGTATAGTTAAAAGCGTTAAATATGAATTGATGTGTATTAAAACTACTGTATGCAATCAACTAATCCTGCAATCCTGAGCCGAAAAGAATGCCATTCACTCACAGACTGAAATAAATAAACTTTTTTAGACTTGAACAGAGATCACTACCAGGGGAGCATGGCTCAAGCATTCTCCTCAACTGTATTGACAAACTCAACCCAAAAGACATCTTTGAAATTGACAGTAAAACACAAACCAGAGATTACAAGCGCAAAGTACTAGATAGTTCATATTTTACTCCCCAAAAAAAAGAGGCACGCTTTATTTCAAGGGTTGAATGAGTCAAGAATAATCCATACTGTGGAAGTTGATGACCTGGCTTCTTTCAATCAACAGCTGAACAAGATTCTCAAATCACTTAGCTACTAATAAATGAACTAGATGGGTCAAACAGCCTCTTCTCATTTGTAATCTTTATGTATATGTTCCTAAAGATACATTTTCAACAGGAATGAATGAGAAAATACATATTTATTATATTTTAATTCTATGTAATGTGTCTGGGTTGAAAAGAAATACATTTCACCATTAATAATGGCACGAGAATTTCTTGAAGTCTGCAATAATGTTTTTAATGTAATTTCAATAAACAAATGTAGTAGATACAATATAGAGACTGATTTAATTGAATAAATTTACTTAAACCCTTTACTCTTGTGCTACTAAACGTGCTACTGTTTATGCGCATATCCCACATTCATAGTTTAACTAATTGGACTTTTTTAGTATAATCTTTAAGTTTTACATTTTTGTTCTACTGTTCTACTTCTACAAATGTCTACAAGTGCTTATGTCTACGAGAGGGTGAAAGGTTATTTGCAGGATTTTTGTTCTATCCTCAGGAAAAACAATGGCTTTTTCTGTAATTAATTTCTTCAGAGTTAAGAATGCTGCAGTGGTAAATCTGTGCATGTTATCCATACTATCCTGAAAATGAAACATTTTCACTAGTGGTTTAATTAACCTATAGGATGAAGTAATGGAAGATACTGTAGATGGTAAAATAAAATTGTATAAGTTTTTTAGTTTTAGAAAAATACAATTTCTTCAAAAAGAAAGAGTGATATTGTATTACAAAATATTTGCAAAAATACAAAGGGTTGTAGAGGTATGAGCAAGCTATCAGACCTGGTTATTCAAGTCGATACTCTGGCTTCTTTCAAGTCTGGATGAGATCCTTGAACACATTACCTCCTATTGGGATGTGTGGGCCAAGGGGTCTGCTCTTGTTCATACTGTAGGTCTCTTCGTTTTTATGCTCTTATGGAAATTGGACTGGGGAATGATAAATGTTATCATACACTGATTTAGATCATTTTTAAGATGCTGACCATATACAGTAGTTCGGTTAACTCTTTACACATATTTCAAATTTGAAATGTTTTCATACTCTAAAAGCTGTGTCATCTGGAGGTGTTGGATAAACAATGTAATTAAACCTTTCAGGCTGTAGACATAGCTTACCTTTAACTGTGTTTCCACCATGTATTCACGTGGCACATGAACTGCTTACATCTTTGTTTAAAATTCCTTTTCAATTAAGAAACTAACTTTGGCGGCGTTTGTAGCTGGACTCTGAAATTATTTTCAATGTGACATACTGTAGTACTCAGTGCTGCTGGAGTTAGGCAAGTGGTGGTGATATTCAAAGGCTGAAGCACAAAATCAACCTGTGCAATTTCTTAATAATACTTATTCAGGTAACATTTATCCAGAGCAATTTACCTTTGCTTATTTATACAGTTGGGAACTTTGCTTGAAGAATGTGCTTTGCTCAAGGGCTCAACAGCAGTGGCCCCACTGAAGATCCAGGTTATGAGTCAATATCTTAAACAGCACCTCCACACTGTTCTGCATCGCTCCTCCAAGAGTGTCTACCTCTGCTGCAAGGCACTATGGGGAAATCAATGAGTACAGCAATCAGTGGCTGTGACAAGGGCACATTTCCCAGGAAAGTTATAACTTGACTGATTTCAAGCTAGTCTCCAAACTCCGTTGGAGGGATATAAAAAAATAGCAATGCCGAAACTTTGACTAAGGCTTCATTCAAAAGTACAAGACAGTGAAAATTCTTTTTAAAATATTTCCTGATGAAATATCACTTTGTATATTACTATATGCTATGCTGAAGCAATAAGTCACAATTCGTGTTCTAAACTATTACTATTCAAAATGATCTCTAAATAGACTTTTTCTATAGTACTGTAAGGTATCATTTTCTAACCTCAGCCTTATTCACACCCTGTACAAAACCAAGCACCCCTTTCCTTCTCAACAAACGACGAGCTGGACAGCTACAGCTCAATTTGTTCACAGCTTTGAAGCACAGTTCAAATACCTACCTGATGTTATTAATGTTCCTGTATACATTGGATTTTTACAACAGTGGTGCATATAGTACATAGTTCATTCTAACACTTTACTTCAATATTTGAACTGAATTTTTAATCCTTACTTACAAGTAGTTTTATTAGCTATGAATTTTGACAAACTGTTTCTTTGATACGTTTAACAGACCTGCTTAAAGTTTTAATGGAAATGAAAAAATACATCAACAACAGAAGTTTAACAGTATCTAAAGTGCAAGTCAGGTCTCCAAACACTATTTCCACAAAATTACTTGACTGTTTAAAATAACGAACTCCTAGACCAGCTGGTAGAAGCCTGTCTATATCTCTTGAGCACAGAGAACGTAATTTTCTGTTGTATGTTCTGAGACACCGCTAGGTCTGAGAATGCAAGGAGTAGGAACAGAAAGGTTATCTGGTCATGGGGTTATCTGTGAGGGATGCAGTTTGCAAAGGATAATGCTCTGTGGGAGTCTTAAGAGAGGCCAAGTACTGGAGCCAAGCAGTGCATTACCTAAACTAACTTAATGAAACAGTGGTGCCCTTACATATTGTTAAAGAAAGTATTAAGATTAATAATCCCTAATGGCTTTGCTTCTCATTTTTGTGGTTTGACTCTTGCTTCTTGAGTTCCCATACAAGGGAATGGTGTTGATATACTGTAGAATATTTGCACACTTTGAGATACAAAGTTAAACTGTGCATGGATGTAGTAAAAACACCTCAATTGTACCTTCTACATCACTTCTATGTTTATTCTTCTTCTTCACAAGGATACACCTGTATAGTAACACCTCGTTTCTCTGCTCTCTTTCTAGGATGTATCGGACACTCTTATTTTCAGTCTTGTTAGCAGGAGTGCTAATGATGGTAGTGGAGTCCAGGAAAAACCGACCCCAGGGAGAAATCCCTTCACCCTACAAGAACAAAAGCAACACCTCAGACAGGCGGACACGCAAGCAGGAAGTACTGGCCTCCAGTCAAGAGGCCCTGGTGGTGACGGAGAAGAAGTACCTGAAGAGTGACTGGTGTAAAACACAGCCGCTACGCCAGACAGTGAGCGAGGAGGGCTGTGTGAGCCGAACCATAATTAACCGCTTCTGCTACGGCCAGTGCAACTCCTTCTACATCCCCAGGCACATCAAGAAGGAGCAGGAGTCTTTCCAGTCCTGCGCCTTCTGCAAGCCGCAGAAGTTCACAACCCTCACTGTGGAACTGGACTGTCCAGGCCTGCAGCCCACTTTCCGCCACAGGAAAATACAGAGAGTGAAGCAGTGCCGGTGCATATCGGTGAATGTCAGTGAATCGGGCAAACAGTGAGGCACCTACCCACGGACCAGAGACGGCAGCGCAAGCACTGCTTTGCCGTTACATTTATTTCTTCTCAAAGGAGAGAGCTCATAAGACTTATTTTTTCGAGAACAGATATTTTATTAGATTTTGTTTTTATGAACAGCACATTGCATGAACCCGGGCCAACACCCATCCTTCAAGAAGGCAGGCACTATTCTGATATCAGGATGCAAATAAAACTGACTGGGAAACGAGTAACGCTCTAATTGATCAACATTAAATCACCACTAGGTGTACATTTATACACTACATTGAATTTATTAAAGGAAAAAACAATTGTATTTCATACAACATATGAACTGACAAGCTATTAGAGGTGTATTTAAACACTGACAAAGCATGAGTTTTGAGTGGCCAAGCTAGAATTGGCATTCCCACCCAGACGTTTTCACCTAAAACTGAAGACTGCTACTCAATACATACAGTATATACAGTAAGGCTCCAAAACAGATAATAGGCTGCTTAATGAATCTGATTTCTATTAGAAAATGTGCTGCTTGACAGAGCTTCCTTGATTGTCAAGTACAATCTAAAACTAGAGAACCTCAGACTCCAGGAGGGCCTGAGGTAACAGGCGCTACCTAAATATGGACTGAACTGAGATTGTATTGTTCAATATATTGTGAAATATCACCAAGATATTAAAAGTGTACAAATGGAAAAAATATTAATCTATGGTACAATAATTATATACCACCACAACTTTGACGAGCACTGAATCAGGTGAAAATGGGGGTGGCGATATGAAAGGGTCAAATGCACACTGGTGCAGGGCTGGCAAAATGTAAGGGCGACTTTATACACAGGGAGCAGTACGAAGAGGAAAAGTTGTATATCTAGAGAAAAAATAATTAAAATTATATAATGTACAGTTATGTTCAGTTTTGTCCTGTTTTAAACTAAAGTCTGCAAATGTACAGATTGGATTTGACTGTAGTATCTGCTCAGCAATCTGTCTATTTTACTGTATTGATAAAAAAAACTCTAGCTTCAATCAGTTTACCGTGTTCTCTTTTGCAGAATGAGAAGAATGTATTTAATTTCATTTAAAGGTAACTGGGATTAAAATTCTCAGATGAAAACTATGACTGTCTCTTCCTTCTTAGGAAATATTGGGATGCATGACAATGACTGGTGAGAAACTCATGGTAACCTACTGTAGCAATGTTCAATACTATAGGTCCAATGCACTGATTTCCATTTTTTGCCACGTTTTTTAGAAAATAGCACATTCTATGGCCACTATGGTGTAATATACTTAGAGCCATTGTTTTCACTGGCATATTTCAGCTGTACTTTGAGGTGTAGCCAGAATTAATTGCAATTTAGCTATACAAAGTCATATCTCACACCTAGCTAAATCCAGCTGCGCTGGGTGGATATACTTTATACTAGGCATGTACTAAAGCCAACAACATTCATATTCTTTATTTTAATAACTTTATAGCAAACAATATACACATATGCATGAAAAAAACACTTACCCAAAATGATTTGCAACTTTCAAAATATTCATCACCAGATATTCTCTAGATGTGGACTGCTGCCAATTTCAGAACACAAAACCATAAATGACATTACAATAAATAAGCAACAAAAATTTAAACAGCTACAAATGTTTGCTTGATTACAACCATCTTTAATCTGTTTTTCATAGCATTGAATTTTCTTCAGCAGATCATCTTTAACAGACACTTCCTATATCTAACCAGATAGAATTTGGAAAAAAGATGGCTATATGTGCCAGCTCACAAAGGTACACACAGGCTCTTTCTGTCCAGAAAAAAAATTAATGAACTGGATGAAAGGCCAGTTCTCCTAGTTTTACCAGAACTTGTATTTACAATAAGATGGTACTGTAGCTGAAAGAGAGAAACAGTGAGTGATCACACTTGCGAGAGTTTTAAATTTAAAAAATCGGTCTGGAAATAAGACACTAGCAATAATTTATTTCTCATTTTATTTTATATAAATTACATTGGTTTTGAAAAAAAAGTCCAATTAGAAACACTTTTATTATATTGCACATGGTGATAAGTCTTGTACAAGAACTCCAGAATAATACAATAATATACACATTGGGCACGGAACCAACATGCTAGTAGGTAAGTAAAAATTGACAAAAATGTTCCATACATAAGGATGTTAATACTACTTTACATAAATAAAATCATAGTTTACCATTTAAAATAACATTTTATGTAACAGGTTAATTACTTGCAAGTCATTGTAACATACTTCTTCCAGAAGATATTTAATCTACATAGATATCAGTTAAACATGACACTTGCAAATGAAGAGTAACACTTAAACCTCTCCATAAACTTTACAGGGACATTTATCTCTTCCACCAAAACCTGTTTAGTATTTGTCCACACCTATCAATAACACTTGACTGTAAGAAAAAGTTTGACTTTGAAATGGGTACAAGCAATCACAGTCTTGCAATTCTATTCATTCAGTGGGCAATTACACAGACCTCCCACTTCTTTGAGTTTTGTTCTTATTTCATTAGATGTACTGTAATTACAGAAATGGAACAAATCTAAAGAGAAATCCTGCACACCAGAAACTCAAAAGTGTTCAGAATGCCTTTAGAATTTAGAAATTGTTTCCTAAATTCAAGAAAGAATTGGTTCGGCTTCTGTAAGAATTGGAAAAACCTGTGTCTTGGACCTACAGTTTCAGTCCAATGTCCACGCCCCCCTCCCTTTCAGAAGTCAGAAATCGCTTATATACAAATACACAGCAATGTGGCAGGCGAAACGTGAAGAACACAATCTCATCAAGCCCACCAAACGAACCCATTAATCATACCATCACAAGTTGATAACATTTCTTTAATTCCATTCTGGATGGCAAACAATGTAAGTGCTACACAGATAAGCCTTTTCTTTGGACAGTCTGTCCCCATTATGAAAATTACCACTCTGTTTTCATGAGAAACATCATGATTTTGACAGTACACTGATACAATGGAATTCATGCTACTGGTATGATTTTAAATATTAACAGCAGAACTCATTAGCTTACTGTAAAAGATGCTCAGACACCTGAAAGTCATTAAACATCTATCATTGCTCTGACCTAGTGTTAACAGTATTCAACATCCTCCTCTGAATGCGTTTACTCACAGGATACACTGCTGTAAAGAGATGAAGAGAACAGCAAATATCAGATTCATCTTCACTATTCTTCTTAGCAAGCTGATGTTATGGTAAGGAATTTGAAAAACACTGTAGGCTGATTACTTAAAGTAATATATGTTGTGATATCCAAATAAGTTTATTACCTGACTAAAAAATGACTGTACTTTCACCATGATCCTAGCAAGTGTTACTTCCATTATATACACAGAGTTAGTTTGAACAAATACTTTTCAGTACAATGGAGCTGTCAACTCTTGTCCTCTTTGTTATGATATGCAATAAAGTCATTTATACTTATACACACATTTTAAACAAGGTTTTGACAACAAATTCAGTTTTTGTACTGGCTTGAACCACACGCACTCCTCTATTGCTTAAAATTTTCAAGTTACATTATGCTTAAATCTACGTGATGGACCTGAATTAGTAAAAGACTTTTACAGGTCTCTGAAGCAAGCGATTTCAGTGAAGTTAAAGAGATCCAGGCAATAGGTTAATCTGGAGAACTGTACTTGCAAGCCAGCAAAGTTCAAATATTGTATTATATAATCCATGCACTGTATGCATTTCCATGACAATTGTGTAGTCCCTGTGCAGATTCAACATTCCAGGTCTTCCAATGGCTTGTGATCATGTTTCTTTTTACCCCAACTGTTACCACCTCCATACCCAGAGTTTGTATCATATTGGCAAAACAAAGCAATTTGATGGCAAGCCCACAACGTCCAAAAGCAGAAGAAGAAAATGACATTTCTTAAAGAAATTTGAAAAGGGAAAGATAGGCCAAATGTCAGATTCTGACATTTGGTAACTGTAATTGTCGTTTTTTTTTTCTCTGTCCATCGTTCTCCTAGAAATGAAGTCTGAATGTTCCCCAGTAATTTCACACAGACACTCAGATTTTCATGCTAAGCTTTGCTTTCTGGAAGACAAAACACAAACCATTAGTTTAAATGAAAAAAACAATGTTCTCCTACAAATGGGCTACTGCTACTAAAAACAATGTTCACAAAAAAATTGTTACAACAGTTACAACGCCAATAATGGCTTTTTAAAAACACAATCTTTCTAACATCTTCCATGCTCCAAATCTTAACAGCGCAAGAAAGTACTTACTATTCCAGAATCATGCTTGGGTCTGACATTATAGGATGCCTTTTCTTTTGCTTGTCTGAAGCACTCCTCAGCTTCTCTCAGTCTAAAAAAGAATTGGGATTTTTATTCAATTTTTTTTATACTATACACAGAAAAAGCAAACTTAAAACAAAATCAATACACTACACAAGGCCAGTGCACAGCAGGAAGACAAGTTAGATAAAACGGGACTTTGACAACACTCAATATTCAGGAAATGACCTAATTATTTCCACAATATACAATTAAGGTAAATATGAAGCATTTTGTAACAGGTACTACATAACCTCAGGGTATGAAAGGTTTCCAATGCTAAAGTGGTAACTAAATTGCCAACAAAATTATGTTAATTCCAAATCAACTTTCTCCAACACAAGCTTTCTTAGCTAGGAAAAGTTAACCTTTATATTAAATTCAGATTACATGTACTGTACCTAACCTTTCTCACAAGGGATGAAACAGAACCTCCTCACAATATGCTTTGAGCAAACACTGCTCCTGATAGCACTGCTGTCACCTGCAGTACATGTGGTCCTGCCCCATTTGGGTTCTCAGAACATAACAGCATCGTCACTTTCACCCCTGCACAAATTATATTAATTTCACTGCTGTTGATGATACCTCTCGGCATGTCCATTCAGCATTATAGTTAGGTAATCAGAACTAAATGCAGCAGTTTATTTTTCATAAATCATGAAGTTAATTTGCATTAGGGAAATATTTCCCTAACCCATGCTGATCTTCAGTAATAATTGAACACTTCCTAAAGATATTTGAAAATGCTTCTGGTAGGTCATCACAAAGTGATATAGAATACAGTATATGGTGTGTATATATATATATTAAGTATTTTTATTCCCACAGGCTGCAAAGGAACAATAGGTTTTTTCCATGTGATCAATTTAAAAGACGCAAATGTACTGTATACTGTATAGTACTGTTATTTAGAAACAGAAAACATTTTTACCTCTGGCTTTGCTGTAAAGTAACACCATAAGTCTTGACACCTCCTTTATATATTTATTCTATAAAACATTCAAATTAAAATCCTCCCACTGATTATTTCCTGCTTTATTAAACGTTTCATCAGCAATTAACATGAAGGTGACTTTCTGTTTCCAAATCTAGAACATTCAACATGTAGTCTTTTTACTTTTTTCCAGCAACATTCAGTTTAACGTTATACACAGCCACTAAAACAGTTACTGCTTTCCTGTATACTGTACCTTACCACTTTTTGACAACCTCTAACTTTCTAAGTTTCAAAAAACAGCAGAACAAGAAAAGCCAGATCAGACTTAAAGCAGTCGTGCATGTCTCAACAGAAACGAGGCAACACCAGTGATGGTAACAGATTACACCTGTAGCAGTTTCATCATTCTATGCCAATTAGCCTCTGTAACACATGAGTTCAACCAGTGTGCAGACTGCCACTGAATACTATTCATTTTATTATAAAAAACAAGCAGCTAAGTTTGCACAAAATGGGTGGATATTATCCAAGAAGGTACAATATTTGTCCAAAACCATACATCTGAAATACGTTTCCTAAAGTCAAAAGCAGAGAAACATTAATTTCCCATTAGGCAAACTTATGCAGAAAGTTCCCTAACTGGGCTAGAACACAATCATAATAATAATAGGTTTTAATAGGTTCTGGCAGAAGATAGCCTATATTTTGACAGGAAACTGGCTGTGTAAATGTGAGCTACAGTTCTCTTCACATTCCCTCCGGTCTTTGTTTACAATTTCCAGTGATCTCCTTTAACACTTGAATTCCTTGTATGTAGTAAATGAAGTGGCTTCAGCCTTCCTGTGAGGAATAAGCAGAAGTTGTCTTTCGTTCACGCACATTAATTTGACCTGACAGAACTCCATGTACCAAGGTTACCTAATCTTTGCAGTCGGAAGTTATTAAATCGCCTGCGTTTTTTCCAGTGGAGCTCAGAGCTTTCAAAACCTCTAATTTCTCAGATAGGAAGATGACAGACTATTAAAATGAAATTATTTACTACATTCAGGTCCTAACACTCATTAAGTGAGAAGAAAAACAAAGTTATGCATTACTAATTTTATTTTCTAAAACACAAGTAGAAGATTTCTTTCCTACACAATAATTGGTAACATACTGTAGACCCCAAAAACCAAAGATTAACTAAAAGGAGTGAATCAGTAAAATGTTGACTGCGATCACCCAAAGAACACTTATTCTGAGTTTCAGTGGGGTAAATTTTAACACTGAAATTTTAGGAACATTTTAACACTGTATAATGAATTGAGTGTGTGCTAGTAAACAGGAAAAAAGATTTTAGTTCTTTTGTACCAACTGCATAGCTGCCTACTGATCAGATTTAGACACTGAAAGGCATAGACGACAGTTACTTTTCTCCGTTATTCTCTGAAATGGAAGGAGGAACGTTACAAGAGAAGTAATCCTCATTACATAGGATTTAACCTTCCAAACAAATGGGGGTTTTATTAAACTGCAAAAACATTAATAATTCTAAAGCTGTAATTACATGCCACTTCCAGATTCTGAACTCTGTGACAAGTAAATGAGCCTGAACATTATGAACTCAGTCTAATAAAAAATGAGATCTTCATTTCCATATAATTCAGGTGGGTAGCTGCGTCAGCATGCGTAGGCTGCAAAGGAACAAGTAATAGGTTTATTCCTTGCTGAAAAAAAGAAGAAAGAGAACACGTTTCGGCCGTGGAGCCTTCTTCAGGTGTGAGAGAGACAGGGCAGTAGGCAAAGGTAAAGTAGCGGGAGAACAAAGGTTGGGAGGGAGGAGGAGTGAGAAGCGGGAGCAGGGGACAGAAAGAGAGGCCAATCAAGAGGTGTGAAGTCAGAATGGGTGCAGAGAGGTGTGAAATGAAACTTCCAATGAATGGAGAAAATTTAAAAGAACAGTAATCTGTCGTTAAGGGAAGGGAGAATGTGTGATCCTAACTGCAGAATAATTTTAGTTTCGGTGGTCTTTCTGATGTATGAGTTCGGAAAACCGTCTTTGAGAACACAGACGGAGAGATTAGTGTGGTCGTGGCCGTCAGAGGTGAAATGAGAAACAATGGGCTTGGAGCGATCTTTAATCTTCACAGCCCTGACGTGTTCTCTGAAGAAATGATGTGGTAAGCAATTTTATTTCTTTAAAACATAAAATAGTGTATTATTTTGAGCTGCATGCATACAGATTCATTTAAACAAATAAAAACTATTTTCTCAAGACAAATTTTGCCTGTTAAGTATGCACTTTCTCCAGACCACGCAAACCCTGAAATGTTTACAGTGAAGAGAATTATGGGCCATTTATAAAACACAGCCAAGGCAAGAGGGTCTGTTTCGGTTGCAAGAGCCAGACCATCAGTAGCAGGTTAATTTAAACACTACGCAGTAAAAACACATTCTAAGCCATTAAAAAATTGACTACATTATGAGGTTACCAATCTGTGTTTTCCCTTCTGTGCTTAAATCATAGCCTATGCCATCATGATAGCTCAGCTTGGGAAGGTCAGAGGTTTGTATCCTGATACAGCCAGTACAAATCTAAGACTAAAGAACCAAATATGGCAAGTTTCTGTTCGAGGTCATACTTGACTCTGAAAACTTCGGTAATAATTAAAGGAGCAGGAGACGCAGAAATATGACAATTACATGGGGCCTTCAGCTGTAACAGCTTAACGGGGCAGTTGGAGGAAGGATTTGAGAGTATTGTGAAGAAGTCTTAAGAAGCAAACCAGATGCAGATTTAGTGACAGAAAGCATATATTTCTAGGTGAAACAGCGTATTTGGAATGATAATGCAGGACGAATGTAGAACAATTGCAAAGCATACAAACTTGCTGCTCTAATGGTTTGAGCAAAGCAATGCTTTACAGCTAAATGTATGTGATTATAATTATATTTAGAATATACTGTAACACTGTATGAGAAAATCTGCTTTTCACTACTTGGTGTTTGATGTTGGATTTTAATCAGTAAAAAATACATGGTGGTAAAAACAAATTAGAGCAATACAGTACCTTTGTTTAAAGGCCATAGCTTGGGGCCTGAGCACTTCTGGGTCAAAATGCCTACAGTATATACGATTCCATTGAGTAAAAATCCTCACACTAACTCATTTTTCTTAAAGGTTCATTTGTCCTTTGTCCCTTTTAATTGAACGGCACCACTTTAATTCATTTGTACATATGACTGTCAGTCATTTCACTGTTCATTCATGGTACTTATGGGGGAAAAAAAAGAGTACATCAGTTGTATGAGTAGCAAAATCACAGGTTTTCAACAAAAAGTAAAATTTTAAAAGTCAGTTTCTAACTGTGTCAATTAAGGAATGAAACTGTTTGTTTTCTAATACCAGTTTTACTTCTGAATTAAAGCCTGGTAGAGTCTTTATCATTTACAGTACATTGCCTTGGGAAACGGCAATCATTTTTCTACACTGTGGAGAAACATTTGAAAAACAAATTTTGAAGTGCAACCTTAGTGCAACTGAAGATTTAGGTAGTAGGGCATGTAAAAGTGCTTACTGCATGATTGCACGAGAAGGACCACAGGGTCTCCCCTCATTCACAACTCATACTCAAGTTATCCAGCAGACAGCCTCTTGGTTATCAGTATCCTCACTTCAAGTGTTTGTAGTTGTTCCAAGCCATCAAATAGCAAATAGGCTTGTCTAGGAGTAACAATTTTACGGGGCTTACCCAAGTTACAATCTGTTAGCTACAGCCATTAAGTAATCAAGCATGGGTTCCCCACAAAACCACACCCTTTGGGAATTCTGTTTAAGCAAAGCACAGACCAGGTCAGCTGCACTCTTACTCAAAAGTTTATCTTGATATGGAATGACCCAAAATCATTGTAACTGTCTTGCAGAGTCTCAGCCTGGCTCGTCTGCACACATTATCAGTACTTGGGAAACACTTTCCCATCGTTAAGGCCAGTGAGAAGAGTACCACTTACTTGCCACTTAACATTAATAACTGTGTCTAAATATCTGCGTCAGACAGATTAATTTCTCATGGCTCCAACTAGACTCAACTCTGAGACACCTTTAAACCCAAATTGAAAGTCTGCTGATACACGACAAATTAATGGATTGCGACAACAGACAGATTGTTCAAAGTTTTAGGTGCTGCCTTCAGCGACAGCAAACACTATCAGCTTGCAGTAGACATCCGGTTAAGGAATAACAAAGCATTCCATGAAATGTAAGGGTCTGATAGCTAACCTGGGGATGCTCTGTAGTTTTAAGGCATTTGATGAAAATCATTTGAAGATCCGAAAGAAGCTAGGGCATTACTGACAGGGTAAAAAAAGGGCTGAGTATCATATCTTTGCACAGAACACATTTTAACAAATGATGAAAATAGAACAGAAAATGTAATTGATATTCATGTTTTTTTAAAAGTCAGTTTCATTTGGGTCTGTGAAAAATGATCAAAAATCACAATATACTGTACAAAGTATATAAACTAATTCACTTGATAAGGAAAATAAGATAGTATTTTGGATTAACAGTAAATAAGAGGATTTTTTATTTTAATCCATCTTATTCTAAGACTCAGTGGATTTAAAAAAAAAGTCATTTGAGCCCTCTGAGAGTTATACTTGACAAAACTTTTCTTCTTGTTGGAATGTTGGTAGGTAGAAGGTTAAAGAAACAAAATGTACCTCAATTCAAACTAAATATGTAGCCAGATATCTTTGATAACTGAGTGTAGTTTTCAAACAAAAAGTATCCCAGTCTTTATCAACATCCAGCAGTACAGACTAATTTTTATTTGTTGACATTTAAAAATGTTATCAAATACCCTCATCATACCACAATAAGAAACTGTATGAAACAAGCACTCTTCTTATTATTCAGGTTAAAAAAATAGATTTGGTTCATTTCACCAGCTTTCCACTTTTCAATGAATTTTAATGAAGCAGATATAATCTAATATTAAACATATGGTATGTGTTATGGGAAACTCATGTTGAACAATACCAAACACAGTAGGATGGAATATTAACTAACAATACAACTGTTTTTTTATCATTTTAATAAAACAATTTAACATAAGGCTATACTGAATAGGCTATAAAATAGTTTTAGAGAGAAAACATTTAAGTACTCATTTAAACCTAACTAGTTTAAACCTAGGATTATTCCAGTCTTTGTGGCATTACTAATTGATGGGACATTATTTGCAATCTGTTATTTTAGTCAATCCCATTTTTCATAGTCTCTCTGAAATAACTTATAGTTTCACTGAAGTCATGATGCTCCTTATATTAAATTAATGAATTCAGCTCCGCCACCATTATCACAATTTATTCTAATGACAGAATATTGAATTTTGAACATTACCATATTATTTGCTGCTCTTCCTAGTGCTCTTCAGAGTCTTCAGAGTAGGTAAGGAAGAGCTTTCATGATGTAAAAGCAGTGCTAATTACACTGGTAGACGCTACTCTTGCCTATTCAGTTGTCAATAATTTCACAAGTGCTAAAAAAGGGATGTCTTAAGCTAAGACCTGACACAGAGTATTTTTTCTATTGGGGATACTGCCTTTATAATTCATTTATTACGGAGTGAGCAGTTAGCCCAGATAGAAAATGCGTACCGTAGACAGTACATAACATAGGTTCTGCCTGCCTAGGAGGGCTCTGCATTCCAGTACTCAGGAAATCAAACTGTGATCAAATAGCTTTCTGTAATTCTCAGATGCATCTGTAATGTTTTCCTATGCAGGCACATATTAAATATTAACTTTCAACTCAAATTCAATTTCAACTCCACCAAAACATATTCCGTAACTTCAAAGATTTAGGATGATTTAAAAAGACCCAACAGTTTTAGAAGATCTTCAACTTTAGTTTACACATCAGGTGCTTAAACTTGTAGAAAAGCACTGCAATACAGATAAACGGATATTAAACAGGGAATTTAAAGCTGTAAAAACCAGTGCCAATTTTCCTCTTTACTTCTTCTGGGATTCAGTAACACAAAACAACATCCAGTGATCCATTCATCACATTCAAGTATTGTACTAAGTACTGTGAATAAGAATGCCACTTTTAGGGCACTTCTTGGATCAAAGAAGAAAGTCCTGGAGGTAGCAGACTTGTATTTAATTCAAGAAATGCAGTGGTTACACCTTCAGCGTTCACAACAAAGACTTTTATTTTGCATCACTACAGAAAGGTGAAATATGAAAGCATTATAAATCTGACCTTAGCAAGATGCTTCATTTTCTACAGCAGTCCTATAGATAGCTTGCCAGGAAGGATAATATATTTCAACAGTGAAAAGCAAGCAGGAGTCATGGAAAGGTGAGCAGACCTGTCACATTCTCCAAATGAAAGATTTTATTGCAAACAAATGTGGGATAACAAAAAAAATACCACAGCTGCAGGTACTGTACCTGAGGTAATGGCACATTAAAATCAGGTTTGTGCAAACACTGCTCACAGACCTTTTGCTCTATGGAAAAAGTTTTGAAAACCTTGCTTAATTGTTTTAAAAACATTTAAAAAGTGTGAGGTTCAAAGTGTGTGTTTATAGTGCCGAAAAATAATAAATCAATTCCTGAAGTCTAAAAAATGAGCAAGGAATGAATCTGATGAGAAAAATATCCCACAGTAAAACAGTCCATTTTTAGGGATACATCTATTAAAAACATTTTATTGAGCACAAAGCCTCACATTCCTGGAGTACTATCTGTGAAGCTCATATTTTTGATTGTGAAACCAGGAGCTGCACGAGCAAATGTCTTCCTTCCATAAAAACAAAACCACCCAGTGGGGGACAATTTGGAAAATACTTATTTTAAGCTTAAGAGTGGTGCAGACATGCATTGCTGTGGACGGCAATAAAGTAACTAATTTGTTTGAAGAAAGCAAGGGTTATAGTGTACTAGAAATAAAATGATGTACAGTAAGCTCTACAAAGTACAACATGTCCATACCTTTCTTGAAGAATCAGTTTGTTTTCCTTCTTCCACAAGTCTTTAAAATCCGTACAGAACTCATGCCACAGAGAGAAGAAGGTGTTTGGTGAAACCTCCTTCTCCGCCATTTTAGGTTTGACAGAGAAGAATACAGTTAATTCCAAGAAACTGGGGAAAAAAAGACAAAACAAAGTAAATCTACAATACCATATGGGTGGCTTGCTCTTGTGATAATATTGTTCAAGATATTCTGTTTATTATTTACAATTACAAAAAAAAGCCGTTTAACTGTGGCTCATCTACTCCATTATAACTTGCTATTGAAATGTAAGGACTGTTACAGGAACATCCTAATGAGCCAATCTACTGTACATATACTGTAGGATACTGTAAGTTGGAGAAAACTGATTTTGCAGATATTGTTTTCCAATCTTAATTTTAAATCAGAAAATGTGTATTACAGTATGTTTTTTCTTCCCCTTTCCCAGGTTTTTATCCCTACAATTTATGTCAAGTGGAAGATTCTTTCTTCCGGCTTCAAAGCACAAACTGTTATGTTCTCAATTTATTGTTAGAAAAATACACTCACAACAGTATGTCTTCCCAATATACCCAAATATAAAAACAATTGTTTACAGGTTAATTATGCAATTTTCTTATGAAACAGCACAATTATCAAGAGCATTTGAGTGCACAACATTCAGCTAGCCTGTAATGGCATTTTACTGTAAAAACAGAAGCACTACTTAAGGGTGGGTGGATTTCATTGCATTTGTTGCGCAGAATCCTCCGTGTCAATTGGCCCAATAGTGCCAAATACTATGTTTCCCAACTGCAGATTAACCTTCTCTGGTTTGACCCCCTCTGCTCTAGACAGTTCACTACTGACATCTCCAAACAGCTCATGGGGGGGGAGTTCCTATATATTATTCCTTCTCTTCCACTCCCACAACCCACAAGTTTTCCTGTCCAAAAAAGTTACAACTCTATTTTGTTTGCTAACTTTTCATGCGTCACATAAACCATAAGCGAAAAAATACTAATATACCATAAGTACTATGTTATGAAGGGCATGGTAGCAAATAAAGTGAATAATTCCTGTACACAGGATGGTTAAGGGTGACCTGCACAGGTCTTCTGTAGGATTTAGGCTTGACCAGTTGTTAACACCTAAATAAATGAAAGTTGGGTAGAAAGTCCTGTTTCTAATTAAAAGTAGGTATTTCAACTAACAAGAAATATATGGAGCATTTCGGAAATGTATAGTATGCTACTTGGGAAATTATTCTGTAATTTCCAAAGTTGGAAACAACCTGTCCAGCTTTCCACATTACAGCTCATGGACTTTAAGTAGATAATTATTAAAGGCAAAGTATACTATAAATGCTTTTATACATTGCATCTACATTGTGAGAAAGATTCTGATATTTAAGTGAAGGCTGCCAGTGAAATATGAGAATATCTTATGAATCAGAAACACCGCTGACTGCTCAGTCGGTTAAAAACTGTTAAAATATTTCCAGACTTGGAATTGTTGTAAAACACTTTAAAAAATAAATGGGAAACAAAGGAATGGGATATCTGAAATGAACTGTCTCGCAACAAAAGACTTATTGAAATGAAGTGCAGTATTTTATTGCAAAAGGTTGTGTGCGTTCCAAACTCACTCTTTAGCACTTGGGAAACATTAGCAGGATGATGTTCTCTGATGCATCTATTTTACACAAAGCATTCGTGTAGTAATTTCTTACAAGCTGCCAGTATCAATTTTGATTATAGGTTAAAGCAAGATTAAGAGTTTGCTGAATCTCTGAACAAAAACACAAAAAATTAGACCCATATTTTCTGGCCATGGTTATTGCATTCTTTTTGTAACTTGATTAAATTTCTTTAAATGTTTTGTCTACATGTCAGACTTCATAAATGTAAAATGCTGATTTACTTTTTGTATCAGCAGATTCCAAACCTTAAAACTAATATTAAGTTAACCTGAATAAAGATTAAGAATATTTAATTATTAAAATGTCTCATTTCCTCTTCTATCATTCTAGTTGCAGACAACAGTAATTTAGTTCAATGCTATAAGAACTCCAGAACAAAAGCATAAGGCTAATCCACAACATTGGTTTATCCCTACCTAAAAATATAAAAACGTTTTATAGGAATAAAATATGATGGCAAGTGAGAAACACTATGCAACAAAATAAGGCCTACAAAATGAAATGTCAAAGGTCTTTTAACTCCCTTAATTCTGTGCTAAATGAAAGATAAGGGACTTATCAAGTAGTGGCAAAGCCAACTATTAGAGCAAAGTACAGACAACCAATGTTCATTTATGCAACTGCAGGTGGACAAAATGGTCCATATCTTCTACAGTACTCTGCAAAACTGTCATTCTTTGTTCATTTACTTTACAGGACTAATTGGCGTAGTTCAATTCTCACTAAGCATGTCACTGAAGATGCTTCACTGAGGTCACTGAAGTTGTGTTCTCACAACTAGAGGCGACAAATGGAACTTTCTTAAGGTCTTGACAATATAGTAGTTTTACACGGACTTAAAAACAAAAATAAACATACGTACAGTAATAAGACCTCAACACATGAAGGAAGGAAGAACATGGCGGCAGAGCAAGCTTAAGGCATATTCTTCAAAACAAGGGCATGCTACAGCACCCTCACTGAAATAGTTTATTTATAAAGAGTGTTCAATCCATTTCTGAACCCATCCATGTAAGGGATTTAAAGGGAGAGCAAAAAGCATGCCTTTAGATCCCATTGTAGAAACAAATGTTACTGTCAGCTCCTTTACTTTTTGCTCTTGATCAATATTGTAAGGCAATGAACTCATTGTTTGGAGTTTCGGTGAAGACATTCCAAGTCCTGTCAGTGTTAATAGGAGGCTGGAGCCTTTCCCGTCTGCCTGCCTCAGCTAGATAAACACAGACCTGTGTGCCTTCAACTCATCACAAGATCTTCTGAATCAGCTTGGAAAACCTGCCTTATGTGATCTAAACATGGACTAAAAAGAACAGAACAATTTTTTTGTTCAACGACCATGATAATATTCCAGGATAAGATAAATCATACATATTCTTACATTATCTTAGAAAATGTAATAAGAAAAACAGTGAGAAAACATGCACCATAAATTGCATTACCAAAACTACACAGAACTTAACTGGACAAACAGAATCACTCCAATACCATTAAATACAACTTCAAAACTGCATATCGTAAGCAATGCAAATTTCTTAATTTACAAATATGTACATTTAAAACGATTTTAGTTGAATAAAACTTGTACTTAGTATGTACAATCTTAAATGTCAATTATTTTAAAATGATATAACAACTCATAACAAGCTTTATTTAGTGTATAGTATAAAACAAACTTCAAAGGCAGCATTTCCACAACATAACCTAACTCATAATGGCAGATAGACTGGTGTTCATCTACATGTCTCAATGGAGTCTGGGATTTTTTGTGATTGAAATTCTGCTCTATATAAGAAGAATCAGAGTTCTTGTTTGGTGCATATTGGTTGACTGAGAATCCAGGGTGGAACTGTAACTCAATGGCACTGGAGGAACCACAGAAAAGGAATTAGGAAAATTCCAAGATATTCCTTCAGTCTTGAAACTTGTTCAATGATCTAAAGAGCAAGGTTACCACTTGCACTACTAAACTCCCAAAAAGAGATTCTCTTACCTTTTATGTGCTACAGTCAGTTGAGTCTCCTGCAACTCCAAATCAACTTTTGCTGTGTTAAAATAAAGGACAATAACAGTTTTAATCCCTTAACATCAATGAGCAAGCACATTAACAGCAGGTTACATTGGGAAATTAAGGCAAAGTGTTAACAGAATTTTTTAGCAGCATAGGAAACAAATATCAGAGCAACACAATTTCTAGTTAGTAGCATGCTCTTGACCTATTCCCCATGTTACAATTAATTTACTTGGTTAATGTTTTTATCAAAAGTGACTTGCATTTATACAGCTGGGCTGTTTACTGCCCAGAGTGAGTACTTTAAGAGTACTCCATTAGTATGAGTACTCTTCTTAAGTATAAATACAGTGGTATATGCCAACTCTGTACCCACATCAACAATTTCTAGACCAGAAGATTTAGACCAGAACTACAGCCGCTACTCCACACAACTTTATAGCAATAAATAAATTCAAGATGACAATTCCCCAAGACACTACCCCTGGACTAATATTGCATTTGCCTTAATGACAATCAGGCTTTAACGTTAGGCTTGAGGGGCAGTCGTCTGGCCAATGGACAAGGCAGCTGGAATGCTTCTATAGAATGAGCCACAGTTGCCCTGGGAGTGATACTGTTGGGAGTGGAGCATGAGCAAAGGATGCTGGGGAAACAGTCGGAAGATACATTCAGACCATAGGAGCAGGTGATTACCAGGAACTGGGGTTTACCAAACTTTTATTATGCAGAAATGGCAAATGTGATCTCAAAACACTTAGCTCACCATGCTTTTGGCAAATATTTCAGTTACGATCAATAAGGTGACAGAACCTTGTTTTCTCTAAGAAGCTTACAAGCTGTATATCAGCCTTTATTTCATGTTAGCCTACCGATGTGGATCATGGCATTAACAGAGGAAGATTGTGATGGTATAAAAAAAAATCATATCGGAACTATGGTCTTTAAAGAAAAAGATTTTAAAAAGCAGCTAAAATACCCCATCATCTCTGAAAGACCTTTTAGACCTGTTAATATTCTACAAGCCGCAACAGTTTCTTTCAAGGGTTGATATCAGGAACAACAGGACTAATTGTTGCAGTAACTGCACCGTTTGTCAGGATCAGTAGTATCTGACAGGACCATTACTACTGGCGACAGAAACGTTTGCCCATTAAACTGTTTACACAAGTTTACAGGTTAAATGTTTATACTATTTAAAAAAGTTGAAAATATTTGGTGATAAATCCCGATAGTTTTCAGGTACAAATAAGGTATTGTACTTAACTTGATTAACTGCTAAATTGTCTATCAGTGCATGCAACAAAGATGACTGATATATCCATTATACTATTGGCAATGACAGGGAGAAGCAGTATCTAAGGACAGGCATTGTCCATTGTGCAGTTGTGCTAGAGAAACATTGAGCATGAATGGGGACTGAGTTAGTGGGTGGATCTATTTATGAAGTACAGCATCTAATCTTGTTTCAGGACCACATAGCCCATGAAAATACCACTTTACTTCCTTGCTGATAGCAAAACAAAAATGTGTGATTTAACAATACTCAGACAATGCTGGCAAATATCCTATGATGCTCTAAAAACTGCAGTAATTTTTGAAGACTTACAGTAAATAAACATTTGTTTAAATATTTCACACTATTGTTTGAATTATATTTCAATTTGTATTGCACAAAAATACCACATGCAAAATAATTTGATACTAAGTAGTGAAACATACAGTACAGTGAATTTAAAATTAAAAATAAATTGAACAACACTCATCTACGCACAGTTTCCTGTAGAGTATTCTACTCTTACAACTTTCCTGGTCAATTTGCTTAGCTTGGGTGAAAAGTAGCCATGTTTTTCATTTAGTTACCTAGATCCAAATCTTTTAATACTTGAATACAACAAGGTAGACTATATACAGTATGAACAGCAAACGTAGGGTTCTGATAGCTTAACCATATATATGAATCATATCTATTTGACGTAGGTGCTGCTCCTGGGATCAGCACTCACTCTGCATGAGCATATACATAAATATATACAAAGTGAGTTTCAAATTTGTATGACAGAAGAAAACCTATAATGTAGTGCTATTCACTGAAATGTGAACAAAAACAACAGAACAATACAGTCACCCTGTGTACTTCCTAATGTTTTTGATGAACTACTGTCTGATCCAAAGCCATAACAATCTGAAACAGCCACTCTGAACCACTTCCAAGTAATGTAGATCCCTTTTATTCACGGGCTCCGCCTTCCCTGATCTACAGCGCTCCTTTTGGGGAATATCAAATCATTCCCATGTAATTGAAGCCAGAACTATACCTAAGAGGTCCCAACATGTCAAATATGAAGATCACTTTTATCTACCATTCTCAGCACTAAATCTTGCTATTGATCTTTTTACACATGGTACTTATTGTTTATAGATAATCAGTCTTAAATAAAGTGCTGTATGTTATTCCAGGAATTCTCATTTGACTTTTAGTGTCTGGTCAAGAAATTAAAGTACAAAATACTGCAAAATGCACTGTAATATATATACTGTACATACTGTATTTTTTATTATCATCATCAAGTGATAACGTCACTGCAGGTTTCCAATTGCTAAACATACAGGGTGTTGGATGTGTTACTGTATATCTAACACACTAAGATGGAATGACACAATCACTAACTATTTAAATCAACAGAACTACTCTGTCTGTGTTGTAGAGCCTAACCTTGGCAGTGAAGTGACTTTTCTATGGTCCAATACTGTACATTGAAAGAAGAAAGTAAGCATGAGAATGTCCTGTTCTTACAGTACACATGGGCTTTACACACGTTTTATAAAGAAAATCGTTTGTCTGCCAGGTCCTGAATTCTGTAATCAACATTAACCAAGGGTTTCATACCCACGGTGACTACAGGAACGAGACTGCCCAATGTCATTTTCAACAGGTGGGTCTAGTACCATCACTTATCCTGACTGTAAAGCTAGCCCTTATACTGTAGTTCCAACATGTAGGGACCAAATCTTTTCCTCTTAAAACTGTTTTTCCTGTATAAACAGGAAACCAATGTGGCCTAAAATGGACCTGTGCATGAGCACGCACACACGGAGAGTACATGTATATACAGTATATATACATGTATGCACAGACAGTGGTAGAGCTGCACTCCAATCAGTCCCATCCTGCCACGGGGTTTATATGATTACCATATTTAGGAAAGAAAACTCTTTAGCTTTAAAATGTATAGTAACTTGTAAACCACTTGCTTTTGTACAACATTTGCACCAAGTTTTGCTCTCTAAAAAAATTAACACAACTATAAGTCACCAAAGTATTTTTCCATAATTGTGATACCAACTTGACATACTTTTATAGTCATGCACTTATAAGAAAAGTAAAAAAGTATAATTATAACCAAAAATGCTGACCTAAGAAGCAGAAAACTCAATATAGGAAAAACATTACATGAACAGGAGCAAAAAAAAAACTAAAAAAGATATTCAATTAATTTGCAATAAATTTTGCTTCAAATTTGCTACAGTGAACTACTGTATAGAGAAACGTGCTGCAAAAAGTGAACTGAACTACAGATCTGTCCCTAAGGGTCCAGTTTTTCTAGCATTTTGTGGTAGGGTTCACAGTGAAAAAACTATTTTGCTACATTTATTTCATTCTGTAACCCACAGTTACAAATACAAACAACAATAATAATTTCTTTTTTGCGTAATGAGCTCTGTTGCTAATTCTGACAGGAGCCCTGTCAGTCATCAATGTCTCGAAAAACAATGGGAATCCCTGCTCTTCTCAAACGGATCAAAGAACTGCTAGCATCCTAGTGTTGTGCTATAAAAGCTTTTCTAGTCAAGCCATTTTTTAGCTAAGACTCACGGACTTTAAAACAACTAGACTACATATGCAACAGATTACAATGCTATTTGAATATGAAGCCCTGAATTCAGCTATTGCATAAGACCAAAAAGCCTTTCTTTGACAGATCCAAAGGTTAACTCTCTTTCAAGCTGGGCTGTATAATCAGTAAAGCAAGAATAAAAATAAACAGTTACAAATAAATAACTAAAATGGATTGTATGCGAATCCTGGATTGTTCCTTTCTGCTCGTTAAGCATCCAATTAATCAAGTTAGAAAGTCACATGCAAAGGAAGCCTCATGAGACAAAAAGCTGCAAAGGCTTTCTGTTGACATATGGACATTTTTTGTTTAATCCTAAAGCAAAATAATTTAAAACCCTGTCTTAGTAGAGAAGGAGAGAGCCTAATCTTTAGAAAAAGTACCGTTCTGAACACAAGCACAGCTGACTCAGATCAGAGGTAGGGAAAAGAGGCTTCTTCAAAAAGAGACCTGCCTGGGGCACTACAGTAATTCCCTTCAACAAATTTTCCCCCAGTTTCTTCACAACCCTTACATTTGGGTTAGGATATGCAATACCCCATCATACTAGAGATTAAACAGCTCCTAACTAATGGTAAATGTGTCTAAGAGTCATCAGGTAAGCCTTAGGGAGTAGGTTTCATGGGCCAGAAGCAATATCCAAATAGTTTGGACAAAGCTATTTATTAATCTAACCAACAGGACAGTTTTTTTTTGCCTTCGCTTCCCAGTTATACCCAACTGCTCATTTAAATAAAACATTATTAAAAGTGCAGAAATAACCCCGGCTTTATTTAACTTATTGCTGGCAACCCAAGTGTAAAAAACCCAAAGGAGGACCATCTTAAATTAATTACTGGCATGTAACTGACAAGCACGCCTTGTAGCCAAATTTTCCCTGTAGCTCATTATGTCCCCGGTTCCAAAAAACAATACTCCATCATCTGTTTCAGCCATAGTCTCTATGTATTCTGCACACCAGGTTACTCTGCCAAATCATGCATCGTCTCGCACAGCTGTTTATTATTAAAGTGTGACAATTATTTGAAAAAACAAAAAGGACACCACTAGTGCAGGGGTTTCTGTCTTGCAGTAGTTTATACACAAATTACACAAATCCTGATATTACATCATTTTCATCTGTCTGCATCAATATAACTACAGTATTTGCAAGAAATTCTTATTTTTCTTAAAACCCATCATTATTCTAAGACGGCCACACCATTGAACTAAAACTCTAAAATGGCCCAGTGCAAACAATTGAAATTTGCACCAACTTTTTAAAAAAAAAAAAACTTTAAAACCACAGAAGCAAGTAAGCCACAGAAAAGTTCTCATCTATATTATCTGCACAGATTTTTTAAAGCACTAAAAGCCCAGCTAAGTTATCAGAATGTCACACAGTGTAGATCAGCCAGAAAATAACTTAAACTGCGTATGTAAGGGCTACCAGTAATGACTAAGTACTATAGCTTATGGCAAAATGATCCATTACCCACTTGACTTACCGAGCCACACAAACAAAACAATCTTTGTGAATAAATCACATCACCGTCACATAGCTGCAAGTTTTATAACACCTTTCATACCTTGGCCGAGAAATTCTTCCATTTTATTTTTGAAAGGCTGCAGGTGATCTTCAGAAGAATCGCGACAGACCTTTTCTGTTTCCGTAGTGCAAGCTGCAACACAAGAAAACCAAAATGTGATTTCTTTTCCTTGGCATTTCAGACACCACCACTAACAACCTCCTTGTTATAAGCCGTGAGGAAAACTCTTGCTAATCAGCCCGATTAGCAAAAAAAAAGACAAAAAACTGAAAAAAATCAAACTGAGTTTTCTGTCAAGCACAGTTAGCGTAAATGACCCAAAAAGGAGGGGTAATGTTCTGTACTTAATTAGAATAATCTTTTTTTTAATTTAACTTAAGAAAAGGAAAGGAATACAGCATGGATCTACTGACAAGCTTAAGGCTATACATTTGAGAGATCATACTTCTTCCAGAGGACATTTGATTAAAATGTTGTTTTTATATTTTCACATGATCTTAGAAGCAGCGCTCACAAGTGGTTTTCTGTACATAGTGTAACGCAAACGGCCTCCATTGCTTGCGAGAGCTGGCTAACCAGAGTGGTGACGTCGCCGCCCTTCCCTGTGGATAGCAGGGACCGCAGCCGCCGGGCTGAGGGGAGACTTCCCTTTGGCTCAAGAGGCTGGGTCCCAGTTGAGAGACACCGGAGGCCCGGGTTCGAGTCCCCGACGGCGGGGGGCCGGCCTGATGCGGCAGCGGCGAGGGCGCCCGCGTGAAGCCCGTAGCGTTACGATATATTTCACTACTGAAATAACACATCAGGTTCAAACGAGCTAGCAGCGCTAGTCTGAACTAGAACCACAGTACATTCCCCTGAACAGCTGAAAGAAGATATTGTAGCTGGATAGGTGGCATTTATAAACCCAAAAGAGCAGACTTCCAGTGGTCATTAACCTATGGTATCCAATAAGAGAGCAGAGTTTCCAAGATGAGGGGGCATTTGAGGGAGAAGTGAGTGAGGAACAACTGATTGATGAACTCCTAGATGTGCTACATTTCCGAGACGCCAATTAAAAGGGCCCATGGATGTTTTGAATAGTTTCTGGGAGAGTTTTTCCTTTCAGAGCTAGTGAGCAACTATTTAGAATACAAAGTTTAGTACGTTCCTAACTACTGACAAGTAAAGACACCCCCACCCTGGCATGACAGGACCATAAAGAAGTGTTTCCTGAAGTCTTTAAAAAAAAAATGTGCATTTTGCAGTTTCTTCCAAGTGCCAACCATTTATACATCTGCTACAGTGATTTCACTTCTGTGACGTACTGGATGCCACCCATAATGACACAGCGCTATCGCAGAAGTGAGAAACGCACTGCGTAACTACAGGGAACAGGGAGCATGACTGTGATTTTATACATTTTCACTTCAAGGTACTGTAAAAAAGTGTGTGGTGACCCTTCTGTTCTAATCGTAATATCTTTGAATGTAGATTCAAGTATGTAATCAAATATCCACCCATCACCCACCCAATCCTTGCCATTTCACCTATGACACCCTTAATACATTTCAAAAGCTTTCTAAGCCTGATCGCCCTAATGTCTTGGAAAAAGAAATGTGATGGCTGAAGGAAAAAGGAAATTTTTTCTAGCAATTTCACATTGAAGTGCTTTATGCATATCCCATATGTACATTCAGTTTCTCAAAGTTGAATCTAAATTTGCCAGTTACACATTAAACCTTTCTACTGTATATGCCTCCCAGTAATGACTAAAAGCAGTTTGACTTAAACTCCACAGTCACACACAAGACTAAATGGCCCATCACCTTGAAATCCTTGCCATCTCAAGATCAGAAGTTGCATGACTGGTCTCCAAGTCTAGTTTACTTGTATTCAGGTTCAGCCGATTAAAGAAAAGGAAAAATGAATAATAAAAATAAAATGGTCTCTTAAGAGAATACATTGTTCTTCCTCACATGTTGGCTCTCTCTCTAACCCCATTATTCAATTAAGTGAAATTCATGTTCTTAAATTACATGTTCTGACTTACTTTATCCTTGCAAACAGTTAAGCAGATAATCTGAGTGAAATTAACCAGCGTAGACTTCAATAAAGTTGCAGAATGAGTGTCCAATTAGCCTAGAAACATCACTGTCAAACAAACAAACAAACAACTACACTAAATTAGACAATATTGCTCAATATTGAGGAAGCACCGGTCCTTGTGACTGCAATTATTACATTTCATGTTTCGATAGTGTAACCAAAAATGGTTCAGGTTAAGTTTGAATAAAAATTTTTTAGGTCTAGACTGTAGTCAATAACTACAGATGCGAGAGGTTAATCCTCATTTCTAAAATCTAGGTTGAACCTCTATTCATTTTTGCAGGGGACAGCAAACGCCTCCTGACAGGACAACTACTAGACAAGTCCAGCAACAGGTTTCATCCACCTTTTGAGACATTGCTTAAAAATAACTAAACAATTCACTGCAAAGGAGTTAAAGCTTATGCCTGCTGTAGCCCAGGTTAAAAATGCTCAAGCACTTCAGAAATCCCAGCACTTATCTTCCATATTAATCTTCTGTATAAAAATAGATGCTGTTGCATCAATCTTTACTTCTGTCAGCTTACTGGCAGAGAGCCTGTGCTCTTTCAACAGTAAAAAGCAGATTCTTCCAGAAACTGTCTGAGAAAAAAGAGCTAATAATTAAGACTATTTTAGAAACCCAATAAAACAATGCAAGATTGATAGGATCCCCATTTGTTTTGACAAAATAACTGCATATCCTTTCTTGCTCTAATGCAACCTCTGCATTTAACCTCCCAGAACTGTATCTAATTTCTAATTCAAAGCAGGGCCTGCAGGTTTAGCCTATAGTGAAGTGCAAACAGGGGAACATGCGCTTATGTTGCGTATTTTTCTCATTTTTTGCATCGCTTGACTTACTGTAAAAGCTGCTGAGGGTTCAGGGGTTTCCTGAGACAGCGCCTTGTTTGGAGTTGCGAGGACAGTAAAACATGACTCATGGATTGACTAGAAAGTCTGGCTAATGTTTGCATCTGTTTTGGGTTTAAGAGTCTGCACAGTGAACAGATGCTGGCTATTAACCCTATGCTGATTTGCTCCATGTTAATCACAACTCCCAATTTCTGTGTCATGAACATGTTAGCAGTTAAAAAAAGCAAACGTGTTTTACAAGTAATTAATACAGAGTCATTATGTTCACTTTATTTAAAGGTTCATCTAAAATAGAGCAAATGCAATACAAAGAAAATGGAAATGAAGAACCTGACATTTGACGCACATGGCCCGCTCTTTGATTTTTACAACTCTAGCATGGTATAGTTAATACTGAATGTATGGCCTGATGTATTATATGGTAAATAAAATGTATACAGTACCTTTTTATATCCCTTTGGCACTATCATTAATGTCTAGTGGGATCTAGAGCCTTCAGTGCCATTTTAACATACTGTATCGCACCAGCTAAGATAAAATTATGAGTGATTATATTATTCTTGCTGAGTTCTGTAAAAATGTTGACTGCCAAAGAAAGAAATTGGATAGTAATGAATCACAGAATTATTTCCTGGGAACTTACTGACTTCTAGGTGGTTTAGTCTTTAATTGATAAAATGGAAATAGGAGTTAAAGCAAGGAGTTCTGTAGGAGGATGAAGGATAACTGCATTTTAACAAAAAAAATTACAAATGGAGTCTGCTAACCATTTTAAATGCTTTAACAACTTCCAGGCTCTTAAATGCTTGCCCTTCGGAAATAACCCTCAGCTTAAACTCAGTGTTCAAAGTGGTTCTCTTTAATGTTGCTGACTACACATTTACATCAATATTTACACATGAAACATTTAAACATGGAAGGGTAATTTGCAAACTATTTTGCTAGAAAGCTGAATATGGATATACGACACTTAATTCAGGTGTTTTCACGCACCTCTCATGATAAAGAAAGCACTGTGGCAGGCCAAAGACATTCTTTTGAAAAAGGTGGTTTTATTCAGCTTTCAGAAGTTCCCATTAGTAATTGTTTTCCTCTAAGATCATATAAGCCAAAAAAAATATAATTAAAAAAGTCAAATAATAGTATATTAAAAAAAACAATGTAAGCTGACCAATAACACTCGTGGCCAGTATTAAAATCGACTACTTATAGAATTAGAGCTTCAATGATAAAATCAATTCACTTTTGTAGAGTACATACAGTACAGTTAGTACCTACAGGCTGAGCAGAGGCTGATACAGTATACCACATTCCTAAAGCAGGACTGTCGACCAGACAACTGTTACCAGTGCAAGGAAGCAAAAAGGATTCTTAATTATCGAAAACAAAAAAAGGGCCCAAAAACTCAAAGAGTGCTTGATAGCTCTAAATGGAACACTACACTGATTAAACGTCATTCTAGAAGAAAATCACAAATGTTCTTGGATACCTCCAGTTGCAAACTGTCCTTAGCCTCTAATCGGAGGCCCAGCCACGCACACACATCACTCCAGTCAAGAGTTAAGTCATGGGGCAAATATCAGAGTTTCCAGCACAGATTAGCAGTGGAACAGTGCTGTCACTGAAAGGCAGTGGAGATCAAAAGCAGATTGGGTTGCTTTTTCAAACTGTGTGTCACTTAGTTCAGCACAGGCAGGATGGAACTCCTAGGGAGCTGTGAAATTTGAAAGCAATTGGTGGAGCCAAAACCTGTAGGAATAGTAATGAAAAGCTTCTGTGCTTCTGGATTCTGTCATTACAGTGTCTGGTAAACAATATATTAGCAGTGCTCGTTGCTCATCATAGTGTTATTTATGAATGAGGTTGACATGTTCACTGGATGTTCATTGTTGTGACCCTGCTCAAAAGGTATGAACTTTAAAGAGATTCCTTGCGTCTAGGTTTTTGATCTAACCTGACACACTGCCATTTCTCAGAGATGCAATCTGTTAATCTAAAATAAAAACTGTACCGTGAAGATTAGAAGCCCTGGGAATCGAGGTGAATGGACGTATTCAATTTTATTGGGTTTTAAAATACCAATTTTAATGATGTCTACCTTTAAACAATCTATTATCTCCATATGAAGGTTTGTAGATTCAACGGAAATTTCAGCTTCAACGTTCTAGAAGAACACTCGGTTTTCCCCCCATAGCAAACATTTCGAACGTCATATTTTCATTGATAAAGAAATATACACACAGTAGATCTATTGTAGTTTATGATTTGAGCATTTGCATGTTATATACAACAATGCTGTTCCAGATTTGCACCTATTTTAAAAAAGGGGACAGATGTTTTAAATCAAGTTAAAATAGGAACTTAAATATTACCAGGAAAAGGCCATCAGCTTTGCTGGCAGTATGCAAGGAGTTTAAGATGACAGACAGCAACGCTTTCTCGGATTTTAATGTTTGACAAGGTTACAGCCTGCCCGCACTTGTGATATAAAGTATGTTTAATGGATGTGAAAAGCCAGTGAAGGCTAAAATTAAAACTGCAAACTGAACCAATATTTTCTTACAAATTGTCATGACACTGGCCAAGGATAAGAACAGAAAACATATACTGAAGACAAGTGTAATGTATTCTAGAGAAAAAGTCCCTCCAGGGCTGACCAGGTATTCTGGGACACAAAAAGGTGTGGTCAAATTGTAGCACCCATCTTTACTATACTTGAATCCCATTAGAGGTGATGTTATGACTGAACAGAACAATCCAAAAGGGAGAGAAGATGGTGTTTCTATATTTGCATGTTTCTATGTTAATTGTGATGTGCCTTTTATATTAAGCTATTATAAATAAACATGTCCCTCTAGATACTAATATTCACAATTGTTCACATTCTTTTATATAATAACCATTATATCACATCATTACGTACTGTATATCAACTGTACCATAAAGTACCCCCCCCCCCAAACATTCTGAAATGTCTTTTGCTATTTATAAATAAGTCTATTTTTTTTCTAGCCAAACCAAGGACATTGAACCTGCATTTCCAAAGTCACACTACACAAGTCTGCTTGTTTGCAATATAATAGTGCCTTTTCAAGTTTTCTGCTGCTTTGTTGTCTCGTTTTGAACTACTACAGGCTATGACGGCAATATGGTGCTGTGCACACCTGAAACTTTTGACTATTTTGTGATGCAAATTGGAGGTTTTACACATTAATGTTTATAATTTTCTTTCATTGTCCATTGAAATGCACTCATCCATGCCGTTTTTTCTAATCCTGAAATACTGAATATAAAAATTGTTGCAGTCCCTTTTAAGCACACATACATATCTTAGTGTAAAATGCTACTAGATTTGATAAAGCGTGTAAATCTCTAGTTAATAATGGAAATATCAATCAGAGGCCACAGGTCACAGCTTGTTGTGTGCTACAGTAGGGTTGTTTTTGCAGCTGACAAGTATGGTCTAGCACAGGCTTGAGACACAGCAGTGAAATCTGGCAGCTGAGGCTCAATCTAACAGAAATAAAATGTATTTCTTTTTTTTAAGGGCAGGAAATAGTTTTAAAAATGGATTCAATGTTTCAGAAATTTGGTTAAAAAAAACAGACAGATCACCTAATGTACCAGCACCTATGATATGTGTTAGGCGTGTGCAGATTACAAACATCATAGCCTGAACTGTGTTTTTAAACACTATCAGACCAGCAGGCTTGAAAGTGCATGCTGGCAGGCAATCTCAAAGCACATTCATTTACCGTTCAGGTCTTTTCTTAGTTTGCGCAAGTCCTTCTGAAAATCTTCAAACTTCATCTGCGAAGCCTGGAAGAGGTCCTGTGGCTCTGGGAGAGGGAACAGACAACTCTCTCTGCCTGCATCCTACAATCCAAAAACAACGTTACCACAAGGCAACTAGCTGCAGTTTGTGCATGTTAATCACTCAAAATATGCACAGATAAACTGGCTTGGAAGATCAGTTGAACATTTCTGTATCTTGCTTCATGGAAATGTTTAAATAAAGAATAGTTTTAAATCAACAGGACAGAAAATCAGTCCTGGTGACTGGGCCACATTATGGAGTGAAATAACTTCAAGTCAATAATGAGGGAAATCTAGGCTGGACAGAATGAGCATGCCTGAAGTGAAATTTAGCCCAGCTAGATACCTCTACTGTTGAAGATGAACAGCATCATCTTAATCAATCTTTAATGATAATGATAGCAAGTCATCAGGACCTTGTATTATTGTCTGATTCAAAGGATGGCACCTCTTTCTGTACTGTGTTAACAGACACCATAGTTAGGGGCCCTAGATGAGGAATTCTGATTTGAAAGGAAGAGGGCTTCCTCCTGCTCCACAACTACCACTTAGAATAGTGACCAAGTATTCATTTGAGGAGCCTTCATTCCAGTATTGACCAGGCCCAACCCTGCTTTGCTTTTGAGATGGCAAGATCAGGCTACAAAGAAGTAATGTTCCTGTCATTATTAAGGCCAAAGTGAATCACTGAATGAAGTATTTACTGTAGGTTATTTCTGGCTATCTCTCACACATAAGGGTGATTCTTTTTCCACGAGGTCAGTGAATGTAAGAGACAAACGCTTCATAGATCTGAAGCTCAGAAAGAGTTTAAAGATTCTGTTCTATAGTGCGTGATGATTGTCGAAAGATAACTTGTGTTAACAGTATTTACAACTGAAAGATGACCTAATTAAGACAAAAACAGCGCAAAACAAGAATAAACAAGGATAGTGGATAGTTTTCTTGTCCATGTCAGGTTTGATGAGACAAATCAAAAGTAGCTATTTTAACGCAGTGCATACTGCCAGAGCCCTTAAGGAGAACAGAGCCCATCTGGGACTCTGGACCACGTCATATCAGCTGAGTTTTGCTTCATGCTGCATTTGACTTCATATCATCTGGCTAAAGAGAACAATTAGAGTGGGTTCATTTAAAACTACTGCCAAACATCATAGGCTAAAAATCCTACATAAAAGTTACTTTTACAAATGAGCGGAATAAAAATAAATTTAAAAAGCAATTCATATTAAGCACTGCCAAGAAAAGAAACAAGGAAACAGTCCAAGTTTCTGTGCACATCAAAGGATTGAAAATGTTATTTAGAATAAACCGGAACAAACATACCTCATCAAAGTGCCTTAGATAGTAAGAAACGATGTAAGACAAAAGGCTTCGACTGCTATCCTACAGGACAGAAAAATAAAAATATTGAAAACTAGAAAAACCTCAGAGCATGTGCTCAGTGAAATAGGCAGCAATGCCTGGATGTCTTGCAACAGTCTTAGAAAAACTATGAGCTACAAGTAAGGACTATGATCTCATCATCATGTTCCTGTGTTCAATGTCCTATTCCAAATACTGTAATTTTAATATGTAAACTCATAATTAAAATATATACCACCACCACCCCTGAACAGGAATGAAATTTGACAGGTAGCTAATCTTTCCAGCATGAAATACTATGCATATATATCAACGTATTAAAATTCACATACAAAATTAATTTCATAGTTGAATTATTTAAGGAACACAATAAAACATTCATTTTCTCAGGCAGTTAATAAAGAACTAGATTTTAAGCCATGAATGCACACATTTACACAACACAAGTTATAAAGTCTTATAAACAACTTAACAAAAATAAGGCATCGCAGGTTAAATGAATGGCAGCAGAACAATATTCACCACCAGGTGGTACTATACCAAATGCTTTGCACTATGTAAGGAAAAAAATATTAGTGTGACCTAATGGGCATGTTTGATAACATACTGTAAGGACTTCCCTTTAAACTGTCCTAATGAGCAGGTTAGAATGCTTCAAGTGTTCTGTTAAACATCCATGGACTAAGATTCCTCCAGTATGGCTGTATTGTAAATGTAATGTATGGTCTGGTTGGATCTGGACTGGTGCTGTGTTCTCTGAAGCACTGCTCTGGAACATATTGCAGATTGTCAAAATGGCTGTGCACTTCCTCTGTACACATGTACAGTTTAGTGGGGGTCCATGAACTGTTCACTAACCCAGAAACCTCAACAGATTGGAAGCGTTCTTCACTGTTTCAGATTATGCTATTTAAATATCTCTTTAAGAAATAATTTTTATACACTGGCACTACAGACAGCAGATGCCCACTTACACTGCTTTTCACATCATTAAGCTTGGGAAGAATATCTAAAGCAAAGCCATCTGCTTGTCCTCGCGTTCTGTTCCCACCATTCATGAAATTGCCAAAAGCAAGCACAAGTCCAAGGATCTTCATCACACCAGCACTGCTCTGTAAACTCTAGGAAACAAAAAACAAAATGCACAGTTACAAGGGAAAACAAAAACACTAGGGATATCTAAGCAGAACACCTTCTGCCCATTACTCCAGTTAGAAAATATCTGATAATCCAGAATAACTATTGCTTAGTACAATTCCCATAAAAAGGTTATTAACTTACCGAACAAACTTTCTGAAGTATTTCAAGTTTACGAACGATTGAAGATATGCATTCCATGAAAGATGATTGAAAGATGATGCAAAATACTCTTGATGAGAAATTAGGGATTTGAGACAATTCATAGAGGAATCTAAGGGAGAAAGTGAAGTCAGGAAATAAAGTTAATTAAGGGAATTATTTGTAATTAAATACAAACTTCACATACTTCATTTTTAAATCAAAAAAATCTTTCTGGGTCACTAGGTAATCAACTAGGCACGTAGTGTAGTTAAACCCTTTGGTTAATATTCTGGATACATTAACATTAAAGGCAGACAGATTACAGAGAAACCATATTGTATTCTTTTATAATAGAATCTGAGGTCTGTTAAGTTTCTTCCAGCAACTATGGTTAATTATCTGATATAAAGAGGCAAATTGCCAGTGGAATGTAAAATATCAGAATGGTGATGTACAGGAACCAACTTCCCTTGTGTCAAGAGAATAAGGCGAGCTTGTTTCGTGGAATACAATTTTTAAAAGTTCACTGAATGCCATTATGTGAATTCTTGCATTCAGAAATATGCTGCTAAAGAGAAAAAGTATTTTTAAGAAGTGAGAAATTCCAGTCTATCAAAAGTACTTTAGAATATGGAACAAAATTATGTGATAGTTTGGATGATTTGTATTCCATAATTATACCCCCAAACCCTTTAAGAAACTGAAAAAAGACTATTCGTTGCTCTCCTTCTAACTATTTTGAATTTTACAAGATACGCATTACATAGCTACCAAGAATGACACTTTGGCTTGTCTCCAATTGTGCCTATTTGGAAGATGTTTTTAAGTATCAAGTGCCATAAAACTGGTTTCTAGAACAGTATGCTGCAAGTTGTATTCTAATATTTGAGTACTACTACTACTACCACCATTTAAAGAAGACAGGGTTTTTTTTAATCATGGCATAAATTAAAAAATCAAGAAGAATGTATCACTGTAGCAGTATCATGAAAAACTGCTTACAATAACTGAAAAAACCGTGAGTCAATACATTACAGAAATTACATACTGTATAATACATGTGCAGTGAAGTCAGAGATATTTACACTTTCTGTCAAAAACAATATTTGTAACATTTTAATAAACCGATTAACAGAAAAAATAAAGTGTTCCTACTGTTCAGGTTTATCCAATGGCTTTGAATTTTCCTTTTCTTTAGTAGACTTCACGTGCTTTTCTATTTTATCCATCTCCTCTTGTTGAGCTCTCTGAAAAAGAAAACACAGTATAAAAGGATAGCCCACACACTCATTAGAAGGATTTTTTCTGCCACCTTTGAACAATATACAGAAATTACACTGTAGCTTGGAAGCTAGACAGGACGTATTTTATCCATTTCAAACAGTATAGCTACAAATTTCCATTGTGCTATTGATATTGCACCTTCTAAAATGGCATTTATCTACCATGAACATCAAATTAAAAATAAAATCAGTTTTGTCTTTTCAGATTTCTTTAATTGAAAAATGTAGCTATTCCCTACCAAAACAAGTTATTTCAGAACATGATTTTAATACTGTTTACACTTAAACTGTACTTGCCTGAAGGGAAGCACGAATAAAGAACAAAAAATGAACCACACTGTCTAAAACATTTCCTGCACAAACTGTGTCATACGATTACCAAAAGTGTGGTTTAAAGACCTTACATTGTAATGTCAGGAAACACATTTTGAAGGGCTTAACAAGCTGCAATGCGTCAAAGCACCAATTCCTTGTTCATGTTAACAGACACTGATAAGTATTAAGAGCTATAAAATCCAAATTGTTTTTTAATTACATTTATGCATGTTCCTCACATTATATAGTAGGTGTGGGAAGTCGATTAACCCAGACAACACGTTTTTTTGTATATAACATTTACTGTACTTACAAAATGTTTATTGAAATGCCAGTGCAATAAAATGGTTATAACGAAACAGAACCAAATATGAAAAAGCAGGCTACAGAGGGAAATAAACTACTTCAGAACATGTACTGTATATGGTGCTTATGTTTGTGGCCAATATTTAATAGGATCCTTTTTAAATCTTTTATTTGTGGTTTTTAGCTAAATTGGCAAGGCCACATATTTAGAAGTTCAAGAAAACCTTTTCAAATGTCTCCCCCCCCATATATGATGCACATTTAGGCATGCTGCCATGCAGTTTTGGCCAGCGGAACTGTAGAAAACTTTAAAACATTTCACCTGCTGATCTTTCAGTTAAAGTAACATACTGTATAACAAACACAAAGCTTTTTTGGGCATATTCTCCATTATTTTTTAATCAAAACAGATATATACCAAAAAAGGCTTTTAAATACAATTTTGTACATTTAAATATTCATAATGAGTTAAGATATCCTTCCTAATTCGATTATGTGACCCAAAATACACATCAAAGGCCATGCATATAAGTTATTAATATGGCAAACTTTAATAAAAAAACATGTAAAATCTGGTTGTATTAACAAATAGAAATCTCCTGCTTAATTGCCCTATTTAGATATTATGAGGTTATGTCATCTCCTAGAATAATATACATTACAGAATATATGGGTAATTTATAGCAAGAAAGCTTCTAAACCGTATTAGGGAGACAAATGTTTCAAATGGTATAATGCATTGGCATGTCTATATTCCTTAATATTGCACCAGTCTCCTCTAATAAAAGGTTTCTTTTAGATTAATCCTATTACTCTACATTTTGCACCTTGTATCATACAGAAACTCAATATGGTTTAACCCCCAGTAGTCATGAAAACTAATTGCTTTGTCCAAAATTTATCAACAATTTAAAGGTCAACATGTTTTGATTCAAGGTCAAACAAATCTCAGAGAAAATGAGGGAAAGTGGTACGTTGTGTAGAATTATGTTGCACAACGTGGAACAGTGCAAAGCTTTAATATTGTACAAATAGTATGTGCTCTTTTCCCAGGAAATCAGCAGTGATGTTACCATTCTCCTGGAAGCACAGAACTGTAAACAAACACACAGGGACAATTTACAGATGCCAATTAACCTAGCCAGCATGTTTTTGGAAGGTGTGAAGAAACCAACTAGCTTCAGTTAGTTGCATAACTTGCATAACGTACCAGGAAAAAGGTGGACTTCTGATAACAGACAGGTGAATGTTAGCATTTTATGTTCAAACTTTTAAGAAAAGAACACAAAAAAGCTAATCTCCAATGGAAGACGCTTATATAATATTGTCAGGTGTTCCACGTTTCTCAGGAAGTAAAGGCACTTGCTCAGATCGCAGGTAGAACCCTTTAATCCAGCTTTTGGTGACTGTCAGTAGCCCATTGGGAACATGACTCCACAAACTACACATCGGTGAACTGCTACCAGGGAGCCACAGACACCACTTGAGAAGAGCACCTTTGGCTTGCTATTCAATACCAGCCACTGGTACATTCTAGGTGTACAGTAAATGAAAGCTACACGACGCCTCTTAGGCAGTGGACGTTGTGCACACTAAGAAAGAAATAACCGAGGCAGCTCAAACAGCGCACATTTTTGGAGGATCATGAGCATGATTCTTAGCCTTTCAATAGCTAGTAAGACAATTCCCAAGCCAACTCCAAACTGGGGGCTATAAAAAAGATAAATAACTGGTGATTACATTTGTATTCAGAGCCTTGCAAGAAAAGACCCTTTTATCACTTTCAGATCTCCTAGAATCTAAAATCAAACACAAGACGAGAATGTTAACTTCAGTCCGTGCATAGCAGGGCAGTACTTCAAACATTGGCATCAAACAGACTGAATTAGTATGCTGATCACTTTGCCATCTGTCCACACGGGCACGCTCTGGTTTTAATTTAGCGTTTTAAAGTGTAAATACTTTTAATAAAAAACAGACTTTGGTACATTTATGAATGAGACCAGTAATTGGTAACACTGAGATATTATCAAAAGATCAATAAATTGAATCTTTTTTCTATAGCTGTGAACTATCAGCAACGACATCATTGCGTGAGATGGGGCATGAACACCAACTCTGAAAGGTTTCCAAAAATTCATATGAAACGCATGAACCACAGAACAATATATCTTTGCTTGGGGCAAAGGAGGACTGAGGTTAACAGTGTGAAAGCTGTTTTCTTTAGGTCTCTATAGAATATTTAAATACAGTGTATAACTTTTAGAGTATTGCACTTGGAAGACATTTTTAATTTTGAATTTTATATACCCAAAGACCACTTTGCAATATACCAGTAGCTGCTTTATATTTAAATAAATGTTAAATAAAATGACTTTTGAGGGATTGTTTCCTTTGTGTTTAATTAGAAACCATCATTTTCTTGTGTCATTGGTTAAACCTGGTTTTAATGTTCTGATTTTTATTTCTGAAATGATCTTTTATATCTGATATTGCATCATAAATGAGCAACAGAAAGAAGAAAATGGGAAAGGTACATTCTTAGTTTTAACAGCCTCTTTAGTTTCAGGCCATGCTTTAAATTCAGCAAGACAAACTTAATTTTGAATGTAGCCCTCTTTTTAATGTAAAGGGAAGAAAGATCACAAATTTAGCCCAATTTCATTTTTTAACTTGTGAAATCTTGATTGTCATACTTCTAATACTCTGTTTTTCTTAAGATTTTTTTTATTCTGACTAACACTAGCTGAGCAGGCAAAATGCCAGCATTGAGCCATGGTGTCTGCTTGAGCTGTGGTTAAAAATTAGAAAAGGAGACAGGCTGGAGTCTTACATGTGTAAGAGAAACAACTTTGCTTCTCAAGTCAACATCACAGCCTCAGGCCAGAGAGAAAGAAAATTGTTTGATCTTTAGTTATGACACATTTGTTCATGATACAGTATGTCTTGTGTCATAGGATATTATGATTATCAATATGTTTCATGCAGAACTGTAGTGAAGAACTCTGCTTCTTATGTTGCTAACCAAAACTATTTCAAGAATATCACAGAATCCAAAAAGTGCAACGTAAAAAAATTGAAAAAATATGCCTATGCTTCCTTGCATATGGATCTATAACTTACATAAAGCATCTTGAGTATTTTAAAATTTTAAAGCTGAAAACAACTGCTTACACTACATGCTAAACTTTTTGTGACACCTTATTATGTCTCAATCATTGTGCTTTTTTTACAATTTATAGTTATTGCTTTAAAAAAATCAAATAGCCAGTATGAAATATCCTTTTCAAAATTGTTGCCAAAATATGCCCATTTACCATAAAAGTCAACTTACTTCCTTACTTGATATTGCATAGACATGAGACAACCCATGGCTCGACAATTTACCGGTGGTGGAGGAAAACCAGTGTCATTTAATGAGAAGTTGAAAGATTTTTTACAAGACTTTAATTCCAGAGTAAACAGCAAACATTCCACCAGGTTTGTGGTCTGCATAGCTGTTTTGATATTAATGCATGTTTTATTTGCTTTGGAGGTTTCCCAAACGTTATATTCCACAGTGTAGGGCATATTCCAAACACATGAATCCTGGATTCCACAAAAAAACATTCTATTCTAAGGAAATATTAAAAGACAAAAGGCGCCATGTATTGTGTGCAAATTAAATAAGCGGAGATTAAAATTGGTCATGTTAAAGAATTTCCATCGCCAGACTTAAAAAAAAAAAAACTCCTGCAACAAATGTAAACAAAACTGTAATGCAGCTCATCCAGCTTATGCTTCCATACTTCTTTTTTTAAAAACAAAAAAAGATATAGGACATACTGTACTGGAAATCACTTCTTACATACAGTATGTACATACAGGACATATTAAATCACCTCATGTCCCACAAAATAAGGTTACACTATGATAAGTGCACCATGTTTTCAGGACTTAAAGCTTAAAAACATTACAGATCAAGGTCTTCAATAAAATGCTTTTTTTTTGCTTGATGCAAAACAAATGATTTCTTGAACTGGCTGAAATAATGCTTCAGGGAAAAGTAGTGTGATATTGGGGAAAAGTAAAACAATAGTTCTATTATTCAATACTAGCCATCTCTGTTGTTGCTGCCAGGTCTGTGCACTCTTAACTAAACCAAAGTGCAGTAAAGGAACACTGATATTTCTTACTATTATTAAACGATCACTTAATATTCAGAAAAAAACGAACATTTTAATAACAAAAACTACCTCTTCACATTATCATTAATACCCTTAAATCAGCTTCAATCAAATGCTTGAATCCCTATACCCAATTTAGAAATTGAATGCGGAAGTCTTTTGGATTTTTAATACTGTAAAGGACACAACGTAGTATTCTGTACATTTGTGTTCTACTATTTGCAGGTTACTAAGGACTAAGCATCTCACCTACAAGAAATCTGGGCTCTCTCGAATGTTTGAGCTACAAGATTTAGTGTATTAGAATTCTTCAAATGTATGTTGCATTTTGTATTTCATGCATTACGAACATTAGGAGAATTTATATAATAACAATATAATATTAAAAATGCCAATATTTGATCATTATTAAATAATTGCATTAAGTCACTGGCATGTTAATCCTTTGCAAAGCTCAAATTTCTCTAATGTTCTCTTAAAGGGATTAAATGCTACAAACCACATTTCAATAACAAAGGTAATGAGTAAGTGTGTTCAGTAAGACTCAACAGTCGGATGGGGTAAAACAGGCATTTTTCTTTCTTTAAAAACAAAGATGACTCCTTTCTCTTTGCTTTATAAACTTACATTTTCATACAAGGCCTGTAGGGTCTCCAGGTCAACCACTGTGTTGTCCAAGTTCAGAACAGCTGGAAAAGGCACACAAAGAGAGAATTACTTGTCAGATAAATGATGAGTGAGCCATGAAAGAACGGACAGTGCAATACTAAGTAGTGGTGAAGTGTGACCTACTGGTCAAAAGGCTTTAGGGGTTTTAGGCTTTGATGAAGCCCTTAGAACACCCTTGTTTCCAGGGGAGCAGAAACCTGCTGGAGACAAGTGTCAGTAGTTTGGGTGGCAAAGAAATTCATCACACGAATCAGTAAAAGAGCCAGGGCAAAGATCAGTTGTAGTTTTAGACAAGGTTTATCAAGAAATGTCAGACAATTATGAGGAACACTTGAAAGCAAAAAAAAAACAAACATTACGACAGTGAAACAAGCTCATTCCTCACACTGGCTTGATTCAGGCTTAAACTGGCATAATCCCTAGCTGATTTAACCAGTTAACTCCGAGGCCCCCGATCGAGGTCAAGTCATCCATGTACAAAGCCGACAGCTTTAATACAGATTTGGAATATTTCTTTCCTATTCCCACAAGGTTCGGTGCCACCCACAGTTGCAGGGCCCCATTTCTTTTAAAGCTTGACACTCCTAAGCTGCTTAAAGCAGTTGTGATGAGCAAAGACACAATTAACTAAATTTGGTATCTACAGTGAAAAGGCTAAGCACTGGGACAGTGAAGCGAAATTTGTCATTGTCATGCTGTGAAATTTGAAAATCAGTTCAAAAGATTAACAAAGCAACATTGAGAATCTCAGTTATTACCTGGTATTATTTAGCACAACATATTCACCCACATTAGAACAATGTAATTTGTTTTTTTTTATCCCTCCATTTCAGTTGATCATGAGTATTGGGACAAACGGATGACAAGTGTTTCTAATTGGTCAGGTGCACAATGTTGCATTCATTGTGAAAACATAAAAGTGTACTGTGAATGTACTGTATAGCCTTGCTTCCAGACTTTGGAGTTGCTTTTTGGGTCTGCCTTTCAAGTTAGAAGGCATAAATCAAGATGAGAGACTCGCCTGTTGGAAAAGTAAAATGGTGAAGAAAGAAAATACTAATTAGAACCACTGCAGAGAGACTGGGCATCCGTCACCAACAATATGGAATTTTTTTTTGAAAAAGCAAAACCACTGAAGGAGTAAGCTATTGACAAAGACCAAGTCATCCAAGGAAAATGACAGCAGCTGACGGCTGAAAAATCATTAAAGCTGTGAAGAAAAACCCTAAAAGAACAGCCAAACAATTTTCACAAGGTCTCTCTTTGCACGGGCAGTTACGAGTTCATTCATGTACACATAAGCAATCTCAATTTCCAGACTTCAATTTCTCACACAAATGTAAAACTGATATACTGTATTTGACACAAGCAAGTCACCAAAAATAACCACTCTCAAAAATCTATATAAACAAGCTAAGTTGAACAAAAAGTTTAAAGATGAGTTATCACCAAGTGCCACTAGGAATATAGAACTGTATAAAAACATGTTTAAAAGTTTATTTAAAATAATATTAATCCTTTATTTTACCACTATAATGCTTACCAAGTAACACCTTTAATTTATCTAACTGGTAGGTCATATACTGTAACCTTAAGGTACCAGTAAAACAAAAGTATGACATTGCCAGACACTAGAATTCAATGCATTTCAAATGCATCGAAATCACCATTTCTTCCCCAATGAGAGCAGGAAAAAAACAGGAAGCTGTGTTGTGCAGCCTTTCTTTCTCCACAACTGAGAGGTACCGTAGTATGTTTTTTATAAACTGCCCACCTAGGGGATGTTCATAGAAGTAGTCGAATTAAAAGAGCTAAGTTTCTGTTTTGCTCTTATTGGAATTCAAAAACACTGTGAAATTAAAGAGCACTGTTCTTTCTTACCTTATGGATGTGTACACATCTCTGTATCTCTGTGACTATAATCTATGATCTATAAAAATACTGGGTATGCCACAACACATTGACATCAATGGTATGCATTTTCAAGCAGCTAAACTGTATGGTACCATGCGTTATCTGCCTAATTATATTCTCTTTAGCAATTTATATCCTTGTACATGAAGACTAATGGGAGTTTGGCCAATTTAAATCAGCAACTTAGCTCGCTGTGATTTTCGTGTACAGCACATGAAGTAAAATACTTGTTAAATCTCCACAGTTATATTATCTGCATGCGTTTTGGTCCTGGTAGTCATAATGAAATAAATGCTACCTAAAATTTAAACAGTTATGTTTAAATTCCTAATGTCGCCTTTTTGTCTAGGCACAAGGATCTGGCGCCCTAAACTGTAATCCTTTAAAAGTAAATGTTTAAACACAAACAGTCGAAGTTGTAGATTGTTTAATCTGAGATATAGAATTACATTGCTGTATTTAGCATGGTACATGTACCAACAGCTATGTATAGCTTTCTTTCATGCTGCCTTGATTGTTTTAAATAATATTCTGTCTCAGAGAGCAAAAAAACACTCTTGCCACAGGACTCTAATAGTGATAATCAGTTATGAAATACAGAACACTCACAGATCAGACCTCTTGGTGACCAGCAAACCTTACTTGAAGTAAGAAAATGGATATGATTTTCTGCATTGATATGGACTGATAATGTACACCACAGTACATGCTTCTAAAACAAGCTAGAATGTATCTTAACTTCCTGTGATAATTTAAACATAAAACATGACCATATACAGAATGACCTTTTGTCCCCACAACATCAGCATTATTACAGGAATGAAACGGAGATATTGAACAAAACATTTTTACTGTACTGTAGTTAAACTACATATCAAACACCATAAAATCATTCAGGAATACAAAACTTTCAAAATCATTGTTTCAGAAACCACATTATTGACGGGCATTCATGTTTTATACATGACAGGGATGTTTATCAAACCTAACCTACTGCATATGTTAATAATACTTGTGACTTAATGAATAGTTCAGTTGCCACATCCTGTGTGTGAGCCACAAAGGAGCAAGCAAATATTGATAACACACTGTTAATGTATTGCAATAAGACCCATTATTCAATTGACAGCTAGAGAAAAAAATAAGTGTACTCTGTAAGCAATTTTGAATGAATTTTGTTTTGCCATATATTTATCACGTACTCTATAGTTTATAATTATGGCTACCAAACGTTTTCACATCTAACCCCTTTATTCTATCCTGTTTATTTAAGAAGACCAGGTCAATAAAACTGTTTTTAAGCAGCTGTACTCCCCATTGAACAGTAGGAGCAAAATAAATATTTCATACTAATGATTACACCAGAAGATGGCAATTAGGCCATCCAGGTTAGAAAGGGTCCTCCAGCAGGACCGAGTCATTTGATCAGAAATTAATTAATTAATAATTAAACAATTAATAGCATGGCTTGAAAACTGCTGAATTACTGGGGCTTGAGGGCATTTTCACAGTTTTACATAAGGAGATAAGGGCTTTTCTTAAGTGATCATTAAACATACTGTAAGACTTCCCGTAATCCCGTAGGGAAATTGATGTGTTACAGCAGTCCAGCCCAAGACAAACAAAAACAGACATCAGAATAGTTACAGTATAAAACAAAAGACAACAAAATAAATATAAAAATAAAATAATAAAAAATAAAAACACAGGTGTGTGCAAAATGTGATGATCATACTCACTGTAAAAACAACAAAATATGTGCAAAATGTGCATAGGTTTTTACAGACTGATTGTCCAACAATCAGAATGGAGAAAACATGCTGCCCATAGACGAGCAAATGAAGGGCGAACAGTCCTAGTCTAGGGCAGCGTTATCCACCCTGACAGCCGCTGGGAGGAAAGACTTGTGGAAACGTTCCCTTGAACACCGTAGCTGGAGCAGTCTGTTGCTAAAAGTGCTCCGTTGTATTTCAAATGTCACAAGATGCTGCAGTTATAGGTCAGAGGATTGTGAAATTAACACCAATTCAAAGAAATGGGGACAAAAACGAATTAGGAGACCATACAACAAATTTGTCTGAGCTCTGTTACAAGTAAAATTATGGGAGCACTAAAATAGCACAAAGCTAGAAAAATATTTACATGGAATTAAAAAAGAAGGGTCTTACTTAAATTTTATGATCAAGCAACAAGGACATGTAATACCTCTAAAACACAACATTACACATATACGAGATATACTATTTACAAATGCAAAAATGGGATGAGTGGGGAAAAAACCTGCAGCAGCAAGGAATTTGGATTTAGAAGAATAATGGTTTTTGCAGACAAAAGACCAACAATTGCTAAACATATAAAAGAAAGTGTACAATGCAGAAAGTAGAAGCATACCACATATACAGTATATATCAGAATACTGTGCTCTAAGAAACAGCACATAAAAGCTGGTTATGTTCTCAAGTCAATGTGGGGAATCAAAAAAAAAAAAGCAAACCGAACTTTTTGGTATACACAAGAGGTATGGAATGCAAAACATGCCGTTTTATTGTTTTAAAATGCTCAGTTTTAGGACCATAATACAAACATTATATTTTTCAGGTTCAATGTCGATGGTGAATATTATACAAAATATTACAAGAGAAAGGGAAAAAAAATCTCTACGCAAAAGCTTCTTCTGAGGTCACATGTTGTGGAAATGTTCAATGTTAATTGGTCTGAGAATTGCATCTTTGAAAAAGAGAGCACAGAACTGACCTTACCGTGCTTAAAAACAAAGGATTTGGGGACAGAGTAAAAGGTACAAGTAAACAAAAATGGCATCCCCTAACCATACAGAAGCTACTGGTGAATTATTGGGTAAGGTTTGAAATGTGGATACAGGCCCAAACTCAACAGTTTGACAATTTCAATCTACCGTTATCCACTGCATATTCCGATACTTTTCTGGGTATAGGCATACAGTAGCTACAGAATATTGTTTCATTCTTTCATTTTACCAACAAATTACTTTTAACAAAATTTTACTCAAAGTAAGCATTATGTTCAGCATGGTTGACATACAGTAATGGTACTATTACTGCAGTTACAGGGCCCTGGGTAGGATTCT